CTTGCAAGCCATAAGGAGGAAGAAGAAAGTGATAGGGAAAATGACAGGGAGGTACATGTGGGATCTCTTCAACTGTTGAACGGGATGTAAGCTCCGACAAAATCCCAAGGGAAGGGGTTACTCTTTGTGGAAGTTACTCTTTGTGGAGATAGCAATAGGAGGGAAGACCACCAGGGCAATGGTGGATACGGGTGCTTCCCACAACTTCATCTCCAGCGAGGAAGCAAAAAAGTTGGAGTTGCAGATAATTAAAGGAGGTGGTCCCATTAAAGTCGTCAACTCAGCAGACATGTCAATCGATGGAATGTCTAAGGGAGTCAAGACTAGCATTGGGGCATGGTCAGGTACTCTAGACTTTTCTGTCATTCCTTGAATGATTACAAAGTTGTCCTGAGAATGAACTTCTTGGAGCAAGCAAGAGCATTCTCAATGTCATTTCCCAATAGTCTATGCATCACGGAAGGGAGTCAAGCTTGCTCAGTACCGATAATAAGGTTAAGCAAGCAATGGTCCAAAACGCTATCGACAAACCAGCTCAAGGATGGCATTGCAAGAGACAAGGGGGGCAACTTGGTTATCCTTCATAATACTAATAAAAGAGAAAAGACCCATGGAGTTGGGATGCCAAGGAAAGTGGTGGAAGTTTCTAACAAACTACCACCAAGAAAGAAGAAAGATGGATTAACAAAATTGGAGGCAAGGGATAAGCTACCAGCCAGGAAGACTTGTTGCATGACACCCCTCTCCAATAACACCATGGAGCAACCAAAGTTTGTCAAGTCTGGAGGCAAACCAAGGAGGCAGGTTCGAAGGTGCAGGGGAAGCCGCAATGAGGACATTGCGGGTTTAAGTGGAGGAGAGTGTCACACCCCGCCATCTTCAAGGAAATGGCAAGACAAGCTTGGTTTTTAAATGCTGAAGGAAACGCCGGACCGCCGGACTCCTCCCGCGATCTACGTGTAATAGAAATCAGGAAATATGGTTTTTAAAAACTCCCTTCAAACGCGAGAAACAAACAGTGAGCTGCCTCAAACGGGCCTATAGATGGGAATGTTAATAGTAGAATTCAATTTGAATTCAATAGAATTCAATTTGGTTGGTTGAAGTGGAGGAATGTTTCGGGCCTTTTGTGTGATAGAAAAGTACCGCTTAGACTGAAAGAAAAATTTTATAAGACGGTTGTGAGACCTACAATGCTTTATGGTGTTGAATGTTGGTCGTTAAAAGAGAAGTATAATACTAAGTTAATTGTTGCCAAGATGAGAATGATTAGGTGGATGAGTGGCTTTACACTTGGTGACAAAATCCGAATTGAATATATCCGTAATAGGGTTGGTGTAGCTCCTGTGACGGACAAAATTAGAGAAAGTCGTATTAGATGGTTTGGTCACATTAAGCTTCGGCTATCTGATGATCCGATTAGGAGAGTAGGTGTTTTAGGTTCGACTTATGTTAAGAAAGGCGGAGGGAGACCTAGGAAGACTTGGGCTTATTGTATAAAAAATGATCTTAATTTATTAGAACTAAATGAAAATATGACACTAAATAGGACGCAATGGAGAAAAATGACTCATACAACCGAACCCACGTAGTGGGATTAAGGCTTTGTTGTTGTTATAGTACATGCATTGAACTATTTAAAGCAACTCTGTAGAACGGATCTTCAATATGAAAAAAAAATGCAATCAAACTCCAAACAAATAAAGGAAACAGTTACAGAAATAGAAGTGAAACCATACCACTAACAAATGAAATGAGGATATTGTGCATCGCAAGTATACCTGCTTAGTTATATCATCTTTCTTCTCTTCCATAAACCACAAGACCACTTCTCTCCCAGCTGCCTCCGAAAGCTTCCTTTCCAATTTCGGCATCACCTCTTCAATGGGTTTCCTCAAATTACCCACAAAAATTCCCCCATCACCAAATCTCCTCACATCCACAGCAAAGAATGTGTCATACCCAAAACAATTCTTCAACTACAAGACAAACATTAAGCAACAAAGACAGACCAAATTCTATAAATTTACTATATGAAGACTAATTGATTCAATGTCATGTTTATAAAAGCTCAACTTCATAGAGGCAAAAAATGTATCACCTTGTTGAGATCCAATGCCTTGAAAGCCTCCTCCGCTTTTTCCAGCCTCTCCTTCTCCCTAGCCAAGCTATACCTTGCCGCCTTCTTGAAGAAGCCGACTATGGGGTTGCTCTCTGTTTCCTGGTCGAGTTCTCGGAGCTTCCTGTCAGCTCTCTTCTTCTCAAGCCTGATTGCCGCCTCGATAGATGGGTTGCCCATAAACTTCTTGAACTCTTCATCAGTCTTCCAGTCTAACTCCTGCTGCTTCTTCTGTTCTTCATTTTCCTCGCTTCCTCCGCCGCCGCGAGGATCAGACCCTCCCTCCTCCTTTTCATCCGAAACCACCGCAACGGATGAAGGGGGCTTGGACAGCTCCTCTTGATCTTGGGCGGAGAACTTTATAGGGTTTCTGAGATGGAGTCTGAGGGATGGGGGAAATGGAAAAAGGCGGGGTCTTCGCGGTAAAGGTTGGAGCTTTGGGTGGAAGGATGTCGGAGAGAGGGGGTTTGGTAGGGGGAGGAAGGAGAGGGAAGCCATAGAAGTTGAACTTGAAGCCTATTGATGATGGAATGGAAGGCGGAAGGTTTCATTTTCATTGGTTGTGGGAAAAAGATGGACGGAAGAACTAGATGGGTCTGGAATGAGAGGAGTTGCTGACTTGTACAAAATATGTGGATCGGTGGGCCAATTCTAATCTAATATTTCATGACGTGGCCCAATCGGCGGCAGATCTTGTTTCTTGCATGTCATATTGGCTGAATATTATTGCATGTCATCAGCCTTAAATTTTTTGTTAAAAAGTCATCAGCCTGGCCCTTGCGTACATACATCTCAATTGAGCGAGCCTATGAAAAATAAATGTTGAAGTTGTTTAAGAAACTTTATAATCATTTTTCTTACGAAGATTTACATACAAACATCTCAATTCTTATGTATTTATCTAGCACTTAAAGTTCATGTATATCCTCCTTTATTCTTTCTATATCTGTCCATCAAACCTCTCAATAAATATATAGCTTCCATAGTAGATTTGCCCGACATAAATCCAAATTAATTATGAGAAATTTTTCTAATATGACTTAACCTATGTTCAATTACCCTCTCCTATAATTTTAAAGTATGACACATCAATTTAATTCATCTATAATTTGCACACTTTTGTGCATCCGTTTTATTCTTAAAATTGGGACCAAAATACTCTTTCTCTGTCCCTTAGGCATCAATTTATCTTTTAAAATAACATTAAAGAGTTTAGTAAATCAGAAAGCTCACAAATCTACTAAATATTTACACATTTTAATTGAGATATCATCAAGTCCTACAGAATTTTCCACCCTTAGTTTTCTTGAAAGCCCCTTCAATTTCTCTTTTACTGATGCGACGGTAATAATAAAATATTTCATCATTATTAATTATATTAACATGACTAGGTTGATTGTAATTTCAGAAACGTCAATAAAAAATTTATTAAAATAACTAACCCACTTATGTTGAATATCATCTTCTAAGAAAAACACTTTTTGATTTTCATCTTTAATACACTTTACTTAGGGTCCGTTTGGGGCAGCTTATAAGTGCGGGCGGCGTTTTCAAAACGCCGTCATACCGTTTGGTTCACGCTTTTCGCCAGCTTATCCGAAACTGCATTTGGGTTTTTACACTAAACGCAGGCCGCGGGCCGGCCCCGGGGCGCGGGTAGCAGAATAAGGAGCTTATCCTGAAACGCACAAACTGCCCCAAACGGAGTTTGTGCCACAAACGGACACTTAGTTAAATCTTTACTTTTCTTTTCTCTTTGTTTGACTAGTTCATACATGTAAATTTCACTTTTTTTAGTAGCTAATCTATTATAAAAAACAATAAAAATAGAATTTTTATTATCACAAATTATTTACATTTAAACTAATTTTTATAACATAATTAAAAAAAAAAACAAAAAATTTCTTATGCAAACTCATCAATTAATAATTATTTCATGGTTTATCCAAGATTAATGGAGATTGCAAAATTTTATAAAAAACATTTAAAATTTTTTAACATTCATATGAAACATTAATGTTAATGCCCAATTTTAGATGAAAATGTGTTACATTTATGCATTATTTATATGTAACATGGTACTTTGTGAGGGAATAATTAAGATCAACAACTTTTTATTTTCCGTATGTTATGATCCTAAAACTTGTTAACAACCATGCCAAATTAGACTTATAAGATACATTATAATAAATTGACCTACAGCATGTTATAATGGTGCGTATGTTAGTAAAAACTCCATAAAATTGGTCATTATTTTTCTTGATTTCAAAGTTTCATTATTTATTATATTTCCATCTAAGAGTTTATATATATATGAGACCACCTAAAGAAATGTGGAAGACCCAAGCGAGTAAGTTTGATCATTAAAGTCATCAAAATAGGAACAGTAATAGAGAATGCTAAGAGAAAAAAGGCAAATCCAACTTTGTTACATCAATAATTTTTCATCTCCTAATCAGCCTTTCATATAAAGTCATTCAGTCTAATCCAAAATTGGCTTCAGACAACTTCATGAGAAATCCACCTCTCAAACATAGCACCGCATTCAACAGGCCTTTTACCTGGCGCCACATGGCTCCCACCCTGCAACCAAAATAAGCTCATATAAACTATATAGAATGCATATAAATTCCATTTCAGAAGAATAGACCAAGTAACTTAACAGAATTCCATACCTTCACTGTTGCAAATGTTAAGTTATTTGAGAACATCACAGTATACCTGAGAATCCAATAATGAGGTCAGTTTGAGGGTTAGGCAAATCAAAATTCATGTAACATTCATGTATGGTTTGGAGAAAAGTGTCAAAATGTTCACTGATTCTTCGCAAGGAGTCATTTTAGTCCCAGAGTTTATAAAAGTGTCTGGCCAATATTAAAAGTCCGGCGTCGAATTTAGCCACTATTTTATATAAAAGTGCCTATTTTATATAAAAGTCCTTAAGATTATATGGGTATAAATATATAAAAGTCCCTAAGATTATATGGGCATTAATAGTCCCCCGTGAGAACTATTTTGGCCACTATTAAAAGTCCGGGGTCGAATTTAGCACTTTTACAAAAGTTGAGACTGAAATGGTCTTAATGTTAGTAGTCTGGGGGCTATTTTGACACTTTACTTCATATAGTTTTGAATTATTCTAACCCTGCAACTTGGCCGTTCACATGCCAAGATCTCCATGGAGCCAAAATTGTGAAGCCAAGCGACTTCATCCACTCCAATGTGCCCAAGAATGGGATTCTCAAATCATGATCTCCACTGTTTGAAAGACAATGTTTTGGAGATCATCATTAGTTACAAATACAAAACTAGATTTGTAACTTTATAGCTAATTGCACGCTGGGGTAATTACTTGTACACCAAAGCTCTATAGCCCTTACTAATTAGATTATAGTGATAAGGTATAGAGGTAGGGATACTGCGTATGTAAGATGTATTCACATTGGAGTCACAGCGGTGCCATCGTCCCCGAGTTCCCTATCAATAAAATATTCCATTGATGTGCATCATTTAAGTTCTTCACAAAAGCTCAAAGGCAAACTCAAAGGTCCTGCAAACAGACCTCTTTGATCTGCAGGGCCTTTCTAACTAGATGGTTGTTTGCCCAGTAATTTGCAAGAAGATCGCCATTCTGCATGGTATATTATTACATATTAGATTATATACATCTTCTAAGAATTTGGCTTTTTTTTTATTGAATATCAACTTAGCTATGCAACTAGTATCTGGAATCGAAGGTTGGGCCAGGGACTGCGCAGAGTTCTCCTCCAGAGATCTACCGGCTCCAACAATTTCTTCTAGACTTGAAGGTTCATCAGAGCACTTGGGATCCAGTATGCTGTATATATTAATTTCTGAAAGGTACTGAGGGCATTTTGGCAAGAGATCAGCATATTCTTTTAATGAATAAAGCATATGATTCAAGAAAGTCTGACTCACATCATTAAAAACATTGAGATGTGCAGCACACGCAGCATTCTGAGGCTTTACGTAGTCTTCTCCTACACAACCCTTCGTAATGAGCTGACAAAGAGAACAATAAAATTAATCATGCAGCAATGTATGAAAAAAATATGAAAAAAAACTAAGGTGATTGTTAAAAATAGTTAATAGTCTTTAAATTAGAGATAATTTGAAATAAAAAGTTTGGAAAGCAGCACCTTGTAGATTTCCTTCGGAATGATTCCAAGTCCATAAGCATGTGGTACTTGAGAATTTTTATCAACTTTATCACCCGTTATTGCATTGCCAACTAAGTAACCCTGAAACCATTCCAAGAAAAAGGAACTTAAAAATTAGCAGACAGCTCTAGCTTTCACTTAGCTAAAGAAGAAAAAACAATTTATTTTCATGTTTGAAAGACATAATATAACCTTGATATTGACTAGTGGCTGCGGACCACCTTCATTTCCTTTGACATTTATCATATATGGTTTACAATTTCCTTTTCAAAAATAAAAAGAGATTTTGTAATTATAGAAAGGCTACATGCACGTCAGAAAATTTCTTACCTTCAACTATCTCATGAGCAACAAGTGTAGCCATCTTTCCACCATATGATTCACCCCCCATGTAGAAAGGATTCGAAAGGAAATGCGGATGATCAAGAAACCACTACATAATTTAAATAATCTAAATGAATAATTTATAGATTTAAACATCTATTAAAGCATATCCGTACCTTTTTGAGAAACCCATATATTAGTTTTTTCGCATGCACGTCATCAGTGAAATAATCTTTATGATTTCGTGAGTACGAAAATCCTGTGCCAATAGGCCAATCCAGAAAGATCATGCTTGCAAGCTGAAAATCAGAATCATCTTATGAGACAAACTGATAGCATCAGCACATACAAGAGGGCAGAACTCTGTTGGTGCTAATTTTTGCACCTTAGTCCAAGCATAAGGATTGGCAACTATGGTTGGCAGTTTGCCATCAAAATCATCAGCCTTAAATCTAAGAGGGCCTGCACAAAAATACTTTAAGATGAAGCTAACAATCTTCATTTAAGAATAATCTTTTTAAGGAATTCTAAACAATACAACATTATTGAAAAAAAAAAAAGAAGTCAAACATTCCAGAGATGGCAATGACTTTGGAATGAGGTAGGAAGGCATGACCCCAAATCCCAACACTAGGATCAAAGAATGAAATTTATGCTATCTCGTTAATACTTTGATGCTAACTTGTAGCAATACCAAACCATATATGACAAATCTTGCTTAAGAAGTGTTTCGTGCTAAAAAATTCAAGACAGTCGAGTGAAAAATTAATATTTAGCACTACATGAAGATCCAATATTCACACAGATATAAGTGATACAGAATAACATAATTTTTACATGAAAAACCAAAAAAAGGAAAAAACCAGGGAGCTTGTCAGGATCCACTATATATTTGAAGTCACATAGTTCTAGTCTTAGCAATTTCTTTAGCGGAATTTCTTAAAAAACAAGTATGTGGATGAACCCAAACTCAAAACGAATCCAACTCCCATTGGTTCAACATGAACTCATTTTAGTCTTTAATTCATTTAATTGAAGTTAAGTTGACCATAGTTAAATCATAAAAAAATCAGACATAGAACCAAACTCTTTTATAGAATCCTTAGACCCTATGAATCAAACTCACCCCAAATCCTTAGGATTCATCATATGAAACATATGACTTCTGCTTGACTGACCCTTGAGTCAAGTGGCTTGGTTGACCAAGTTTGACTAAGTTAATAGTGACCCTATTGGATCCAATAAATAAATCAAACCTCTATATTCAAGTATTTTGTTCATGATGAACTAACTAGCTTGTAAGTCATTAAGAACCATACTTGAATATAATTTAAACCCCAGGCTAACCTAACTTGACCTGACTCTGTAGACTATCATAGGACATCTTTGAAATTCAAATAAGATCAATCAAATTACAACATATCCCTGAAAAGATTCACCTTTGCTATATAAACCAAAATACAAATCAATTGTACTTAATCTGAACACTTGATATAGTTAACCCAAACATGACCCATTAAGATGATATCGAGTCAAACTCATCTAAAAATTACATAAATCCAAATAAAATCAAATCAAATGAAACATAAAACCACTTTGAACTCAATTCAATTAATTTGAACTTGAATCAAAATCACTGAACCTTAGTTTTGTTAAATGGGCTGACTTCACCCAACATAACTTATTAAGGGATGGTCGAGTTAAAGTTCAGTTATATCAAAATGAATTCAAATCAAATTTACTCAAAGCTTGATCAAATAATCACTTAAATCAATTTTAATTCAAATAAATCAACATTGAAACTATTGAACAATACTTGGAGCCCCATTATTGACTCAAGTAAACCACTTAGAGTTAAAGTTACTTAAAATACAATAAATTGCATTCAAATCTACTCCAACTTTTCTTAGGCCTCAAGCAAACCATTAAAGGTGACTCAAACACAATTAAAATTGGTTCAACCTGAATCAATTCAAGGCAAGAAAACAAGTGTATATAATTTCATTAATTCTTTGATTGGCTCAATCAAATAAAAATTAATGCATAAGAAAGCCTCATTAAATATCATTTAAACAAAGCCAACCCTACTTGAAGTTCGTTCAACTCAAACCAATTAATGGGTTTAGCCAACTCAACTCAAGGCTCAGCTCAAAGTAGAACCTAATCAAAGCTTTGAAACTTATTTGAATACCTATCTAAAACAAAACTAAATCTTTCTTATGTTCACCTAACATTCTAATTATTTAATAAAACACTTTTAAACACTAATTATGATTATTATCTGTATAAAAGTATTCAAACATTTTATAAAGAAAGTATTATAAATAATATTACATATATATGCGTAAATGTTTAGACATATACCCTAGTCATCGCTTGTTGTTGGTGCCATTATCACCTTATGCAATATTCAATAATAATAATAATAAAATTATTGGATACCAAACATAATTTTATTTGATATTAAAATAAAACTGAAAAATTAGAGAGTGACTCAAAAGGCCCCTAAATTATTGTTGCTCAATTCAACCTCATTTCCATTATAGGATATTATTTTTTGTCATGTTGCACACTGTTGGAAGATTTCCTTACCCTTTTCTTAATATTTGAGACCTCCAGTTCAAACTTTAATTAATAATTTGTATTTTCTCTACACCTCAGAACAATGAAGCATAGACTTCCCAAGGAATGGCATCACAATTCTTCTCAGTGACATTGCATGTATCATTCTAAGCATGTAATCACTTTCCTATTATACCACCTAATTTAAAATATTACATAAACACCAACTCTAACAAAGATTTCACCTCCCCCCAGTTCATAACCTTAAATAGAATTGTTAACTCTATTAAAAGAACCACATTTAAGCCCTCTTAATAATGAAAATAAGCCTCATCAGTCATCACAACCCTCTTGATATAAATGGCAGGAGTTAGCCCTATGCCAGCCTTTGCATAAAGATTATATCCGTTACGGAACCCTGGGCATCCATATTACAATAGAAGCAACAGAGAATTGTTAGGATTTAACAAAGCAGGATGGTAAATCCTGCAAATACAACTATAGCATGTCTTGAAAGGATAAAAACCTGATACTATTTGACACAACAACACTTAAATTCTGTAAAATATTATTAAATGTTTGCAATTTCCAAAACTTATAAGTGATGGGATTCAAAAACCATTCGATATAACCAAAAACAAAACTGAAATTGGATTTATCCATGGAGTAAAATTAAAAATCCCAAAATTTTTTTGGCAGAACTCAGGTCAAACAACGGTACTAAATTTAAAAATTTAGAGTGGTAAATGAGTAACAAAAAACCGATAAAGAACAAAAAGAAGTAGGAAGCAGAGCAAACCCATGTCCAAAGCCAACCCGTTGAAACCAGAGCATCCAGGGCCTCCAATGAGCCATAGAAGAAGAGGGTCCTCGTTAGGGTTTCTCTCCGACTCCACAAAGTAGTAAAAGAGCTCAGCTCCGGTCTCTTCATCCATTGTTACATATCTTTTCACCCAAAAAAGAAAAGTGAAGCAAGGAAATAGACTAATCAAATGGCAAAGGAAAGAGATGGAACAGTGCAGATGAGATGCCCACCCAGTCTCCAACCGAAAAGGAAGTTCCCCATTGAAGCCTGGTAGATGAGAAATGTTCACTGCGACGAGATAGTATGGCCATAGAGAGTAGAAGAGGAGGAAGAACAGCTTCAGCTCAGCAGCAGTCATGTTAGAAAAAGAGAAGGTGTGCGCTCGCTCTGAAAATGGAGTAAAGGGGGTGAAGGGGAGAATAGAAGTATTTTACCTATAAATTCCCTTTAAATTTATTTATTTAATTATTTTTACCAAAGAAAAGAAAAATAATATAATACGCTTCTTAATATATGAATATATATATTGTATTATATCTATTTATATTATCCAGTATTTTAAAATAAAGGAGCATTTACCTACATCAAATTTAATTGTTATTTATTTACATATGAAATATCTAAATTTTTATTTTTATTTTTTTAACACTCAAGTCATTCATTTCATATGAAAAATATTATTATATTAACTTTGAAAAAATAAAATACACATTTTCTTGCAAATAAAATGAAATAAATGGCATAATTAAAGCTTAGGGGTTGGATATGTAAAGAAATTGAAATTATGGGGAATATATGTAAATTTGTTGAATAAAACAGTAAGTTTAAGGCTAAAGCAAATATACCGCCATTTCAGACCATTTTATATACATATATTTTTAGCAATTCGACTTTTACATCGATTAAATATTAAGATTCATAAAAATTACATCAAGAGAGCTGTAGTAATTAGAAAATTGTAAATCAAGAGTTTAATAAATTCATGCTCTAATTAAAAAATTAAATAAATATAAATATTTATAAATATTTTTTTGCAAATAAATAAAAATTTTAAAAATAAACAGAAAATTAAAGTTATTATTAAGAAAATTTACATACATGCCACCCCGTTTTTATTTATATAAATATCTAACATCTTGTTGAAATTCAAAATTGTCCGAGAGACACTCCTGAGAGATACACAGAGAGAGAGAGAGAGAGAGAGAGAGAGAGAGAGAGAGCTAGAACAACAATAGCACAATAATAAACAGTAAATTTGAGTAAGCTTTGTACAAGAAATGGAGCCCTTTTTTTTTTATAAAATGAGGGTTTGCACAAAATTACATGTTATACCCCTAGCGTACATAGGTATGATGGAGGTATTTTAGTTTATAAATAAATGTGACCCTAGAGGCTTCACGTATATGGCCGACAAATGACTGAGGATGGGTGACCATTTGCTGAGGACCGGTGTCTTCTGCTTTAGAGCTGAATGGTTCGCTTCTTATCTGAGTTGAAGGGTGTTCGATTAGTCTGTATGGATAAATTCAGGTAGATTCTTTATGGAATAATCTATTTTTATCAATCTGACAGGTAAGAATTGGCCTGCTGAGCGGACGGTCCCAGGTCGTCTTCGGTTGGTCTCATGGGGCCACATCATCTCTTCCGTCCGGTGAGATATCTTTGAGATATACACAGACACTTTTCTTATGTGCACATCTAAAGCTTGATATTTATATCTATAAAATTTTGTTAAATTAAATTTATGCATAAAAAATGTGTATTTTAATTTTAAAAAGTTAGTAATAGAGTTATTTTTTTAGCTAATGTTAAAGATTTGAATAGTATGCATGTAAATATTATAGTCTAGATGTTAGATATGTAAATATATAAAAATTATGTGGTATATGTGTAAATGTACCTTGTCATTACTAATTTGAGCCTGCTGGGTGAGTAGATTCCTGTCGTTTAGCAAATAAAAATTTAAAATGAATAGCAGATACCTACTCCGAAATGCCTGCGACTCGTTTTAAACGTTACGATATAACAAGTTTAAAAAAAATGACTTATTTTAAAGTTCAAAATATTATTTTCCGAATTATATAGATAACTTTTTTTATTTTTTTTTTTTTTTTTGCTGAGGAATTAAAAGTGATAGGGAATAGAGCATTTTTTACATAAAAATTTCAGAAAAGAAATTGAAATAACTTATCATAAAGGTGAAAATTACACAAATATGTGCTTCTCCTTGAATGCGTGTTAGAAGATACGTGGTGGCAGAGTAATAAATTATCATCTTAGCATTGCACGAGAATTCATCACAAACTCAGAAGAAAGAAAGCAACCAATAGTGAAATAGAAGTTTTTATGTAGAAAACTTGTAAAGAGAAAAAATCACGGGATTTGACCCAATTAAGTTGATTCACTATAAACTAAAAAAACAATCTCATGTCCCATAGGCAGAAAATGATTACACGGTCTTTTAAATTTCAACGTTGACGTGTGGATAAACATATGGAAAGGAACGGGTGGCAACTGATATCGGTAGGTGGCGGCCGGCAAACGATAATCGATAGTGGTCGGCGGTAGTTGACGACGGCGATGATCTACAGCGATTGACGACAGGAATGATACCGAACTTCAGTTTCTTCTCAAAGCTTCAAGCTCTTTCTCAAGCCTCAAGCCTCAAGTTGTTCCCCCTCATGAGAGAGTTTGGGCCTTATTTATAGAGTTTAGCGTGTAATTAATGTAGAAATAAGAACCACTTTGATTAGACGGCTCAGACGACTTCCCTCAATCTAATGTGTGTCAAAAGGATGATTATCTCAAATAGAAATATCTCAATGCTTTCATAGCTCACGCCAAGCCATAAGACTAGAGAGTGAGTATCTCACAATCTCATATGAGTTGCAAGATTTATGAAATAACAGTGTCGTCTCAATATGATCCCCACTATAATTTAGGATCTAACTGGGCCATATAGGTAGAGGGTCAATATCACAAACGGGCGGCGTTGTGTCAGCAATAGGGGGCATAAGGGATGACATCAACATGGTATCAAAGAGAATAGAATAGACTCAAAAGGGGTTTACCAACAAAGAGGTAAAAAAAATCGCTAATCGGGTTAAGTTAGTCGCGTCAGGATTCATGGATGTACCATCCGGAGCTATTAGGATCCTAAGTTTACCTAATTGAGAAGGTAGTCGACTCAACTTAACCTAAGACCCCTTGTCAGAAACTCATGTGTTGTGTCATCTAAGGAGTCCTTGGTAGCCTTAAGGTCAAAGGAAAGAAAACTCTAAGCCTTGTGACTCTCTATAAGTAAAATTGGTAGAAATAGGACTTATACCCGCCGAGAAAGCAGCAATGATGCCTTTGTAAAGAAGGGAAAAGAGCAGTCCAGCTACAAAACTGAAAACACTCCCACAAAGGTTTTACACAATGTCTAGGTCGAGAGCCTCAAGCTGACGGTGCTAGACAACCACTGAAACAAAAACAAAAAAAAAAACTTGGTCAATCAGGTTAAATAAGCACGAGAATTTCTCTTCAGGACATAAAAATATGATAATGTTATCTAAATAAGTTATAATGTGAATGCCCTATTAGGAATGACTTGAGTGATATTCATGTTCTGAAAGTTATTTTAAAAGTGGCCCGAAGGCCATGCAAGAAAGTAAAAACAGAAAGTAAATGCTCATTTTAAAATGATACAATTTTACTTCTAAAATGATCAAAGAAAATATTTTTTTAGTAGGAATTTTGTAGAAATGAAATATTTTAATCCTAGTGAGCCTAAATTATCTCCAATGAGCTTCCCATACAAACTACTTTCATAAGAAAGAGAGACTTTTAACATTCAACACAAAAATAAATGTATAATAGTTGTTAACTTCATCAAGAAATGAAATTTACTTCTGACTTGTATTTATAATAGTATTTTGTTAAATTTATTGCCACAACTCACAATAAATAACATTTCATTATGCTTTAGATTCTTATTCGACGAACTTATCCAATTATATCATGGAAAACCTAATATATATATATATATATATATA